CTAATGTGAAAGTACTTGTCATAAATATGTGCTTGTCACATGTGTGTGTAAAGCAAAAATATATGCCTATGCAAAACGTATTTATGTATATCTGAGTAACATTCACATGCAAAGCGCATGTGTGTGCTCGTGTGTACCATGACCATATATGTTCAGGGAAGAGAGCAGAATGGGAGACATGAATGACCCAAAAGAAGGTGATGTGTGAAAGAGTGATGGCGAGATTGAAGGTAGATATGAATAACAAAAAATCAAAAGAAAATGAGGCGAATGTAGCATCCTTTCTATGTCTCTATAGTTAGTGCTTTTCCATCAAGCACATCAAATCCTAGGAATATCCTGTAAAGAATTATTTTTTCCGAAGGATGCCAGTTGGGTTTTCCATTAAGTTAGGCTGAAAATTCAGACCTGGCTGAGTGCAATGCACTCTATGCAGGAGGACAAAGGAAAATTTGACAAGGAAGAGGAAGGAGAGCTGACAGAGGACATGTAGAGCTTCCAAGTAAAGGTATCAAAGCTGGCTCTGAGAACCAGGGTATAGGATAATTCCATAACAGCCACATGGTGCCTTTAATGGGATTTTAGAAGGCATTGCTAGGCAGCTCCTGCAGCATAACGGAGACATGAATTTGTAATATACCCGCCCAGGGCAGTTATGCAACTAGTTTTAGGTCTTCTGGTTCTAAGAGAACATCAGTACAGAGCACCAACCAGAATTCCAACACACACTGCAGTTTGGCCTATTAAAAATGCATGCTGAAGACAGCAATTGGGCTGTTTTTCCACAAATTCCCTAAAACCGAACCTTTAAAAAATAAAGAAGATAGACAATATGACCACTTATTTTATTTGCAATATGAAACTTGGTTAAGAGAGCAAGAGCAAACAGATCCTTAAGTTGAACACTTGCTTCTGACCCTTCCAGGATTAAAGGGAGGCTGAGCCCAAGAGAGGGGAGAGCAGCCCAATTCACCAGGGCCCCTGTGTTTACAAAGGGATGGGGACTCACTGGGGCGACATGGGATGTGCTATGCACACTCTGGCATGTAACACCAACACCCACTGAGCAGAGTGGAGGGCACAGCAGTAAACACAGAGAGAGCACAGGTGAGAAGGGCTGAGGATGGGAGAGATAAAGGGCTAAGACGAGGGAATGTTCAGCAGGGCCCAACTTGTGGTAATCGGTGTTGGTACCAGTCAATTATTGCTTTACATTAGGGGTCCTATGAGTCCTTCAGTGTCCTCCCCTCCAGCCTTTTAACCCTCGACCATCTGGAAAGGTCAGAAAGATGCTAGGGGGCAACAATCCCCCACTTCCCCATGGCAAAAACAAATGCAAGGCCCTGCAAGCAGAGCGGAGGTCACAAGAATCCCTTACAGATGTGAGCAATAGAAAGCCCCCAGCCAGGAGGCCTCTCGAAAGCCAGCTAGTCAAAGGATACAGAAAAATGACATTTCTTGTGTTTCAAATTTTCTTGAAGAATCTTTACAATTAACATCTTATCAATATCCAGATTGTTAGAGGAGTGGAAGAAAAAAAGACATTTTCTGAATATCGTTTCCCCGAGAAGTCAGTACAGAGGAGGATATAGTTTCCTTCTACATTTACTCATGGATGCTCTCTCTCTGTGCAGCATTTTAAACCAATGCAAGATGGTGGGGTGACACACTTGAGGTAAAACAAGGACATAACAGCTATGTTATTTGCCTAAAACATATAAAGAATGGGTGTTCTATACTTCATTTTGAATCGCATTATATCTTTTAATCTGAAGCCAAGCTCAAGCTTCTTTACAGTTTTAATTTTTGCAGTTTAAAAGATTTAAAAAAATTTTTTTGGTACTGGGGATCGAACTCGGGTCCTCGTGCTTGACGAGGCAGGCGGCGGAACCACTGAGCTAAATCCCCGCCCCCCTAAAAGATGAGCTTTTAAAGAGCCAACTTAATCATCAGGGTCGCTGTTTGAAATCGCCTGGGCTTTCCTCAACAATTCTGTTAACCAAACTGTGCTGCATCTCAGCTGTGTAGCTCCATTTCGCTCTTTGGTCGTCTCCACTGGTTCTCAGAACAGACGCTGTGAGGGGCCGAAGAGTGAGCAGATACTTGAAGGCTTCTACAGATCCGAGGAATGAGTCTATAGTATCGTCAGTCGTAGCACCAAATCCATGAAGGTAGTATGGTGTCACTTAGAAGCTATCTCAAACGTGAGCAGGCTCTGCTCATAAACCGTGCAAACAAATGATATACAGCAAGGCGAGAGGTGCGGTGTGAGACATCGTTGTCCTCCTCTCCCCGCTTTTCTCCTCTGCCTGGCTCATGCTATCTGTGGGTACCACTTGGTTTACGAACACTTGATAAAGTTGTTTTTTTCTGTATTTTTCTAAAACTACACCCGCCTCTTTCTTTCCACTCACTTTATTCAGTTTTGACCCAACTCCCTGAATTGCAATGTGAGGCCCTAAGGTGAACAATGCTTTTTTAGTGAATGCGTAGGAAGTATCGAACAAGTCACTAAATCAGGGGCGAATCGGGCCGGAGGCTGGAAACAGATACTTCCTCAGCAAAGATGCTGTGGTTCACTGTAAACTTCAAACTGGAAAGATCTATTTCTTTCAACACCTCTGAAAGAATGGTTCATGGAAAATTGGAATGCATATGTGAAAATCTTTGATTCAGAAGGTGTGCTCATAACATTAAAACCTGTGTTAGTGTAAATACCACTCATGAAACAATACAGTATTTAGCAGCATAACTAGGTTTCAGTTTTTCTCTCTTAGGTTTATATAAACTCTTAAAGAAATATTGTTTTCATCATTTAGAACAGCTAGTGCAACAGGTATGTATCTGGCATACCTTCACAAAGAAGGCAGGACTTTTAGATTTATTTTAAAGAAAACTGCTAGTTAGGAGAATGATTTATGTGGTAGGTAGGTCAACAAGAAACACTTCTACGTGTCTTATGAACTAGTATGATTTCATTTTTCAATCATGCATTTACAAAGTGGCCTTTATAGCTTGCAAAATTGCTATGCCTGCAATTACCAGCCATTAAAATGCATTTACAGATCCACCGGCCTTGCAACAGGCACGGTCACTTTCTCACCAGCACCAGGAACCTCACAGGAGGACCTCTAGCTGCTCTACAATAAACGCTCTGCAAAGTGTAACAGCTCAGGTGGAATAAATGAAGTCACTTAACAAACTTCACAGGGTAAAGACGTGCAGAGCTTGGCGGAGTCAGGATGAAGATCCTGGGAATAGTGAATAATCACCTAGAGACAGTGACAGCCTCTGGCTCATGTCAGTCCTGTTACTATAGCAGCAGAAGTGTAAATACCCAGAGGGTGCAGGAGAGAAATTACTTCCTATGTCCATCCATCTTCATCTCCTGCCCTCATGTTTCTTTCATTTCTGCTGTGCAGTATTGTGTTTATGGAACTCACGGTTTACATGGGGCTGCATTCATTGCTCTTTACTGGAGGGCAAGAAGTGAAGGAATCATTCTTTGAAATCAGGGTTTGTCTTAGGAAGTAAGAGAGAACTTAGTGGCTGCTAAGACTTCTAGGGAAAACTTTTCTTCCACTAGTGGCTAAAAGTTAGGGTTTAAAGAATTGGGGACCATGATCTACTGGATGACAGTATTATGGGAAAAGGTTAAAGGCTGGGTAGACTCTCTGACTTATCTATGAGGATGCCACCTTGACTACAAGAAGGGGGAAATTACTAAACCGAAAGTGCTTATAAGATGAACTTTAACAATTGAACGTTAGCACATGTGAGAACCTCTGTGTAAAATCACTCCAGGAATAAAAACAGTGCTCACTTTTGACTTAACTAATCTGAAGAACATAGGCTAATTAACTAATTTTATCACAACATTGTATATTCTGTATTTATTTGAAATATGAAGAAAAGATATTCTATTGTAATTTCAGAGCTTGGCTAATAGCCATACTCTGTTGATTACTCTTTTGCTATTTCTTATAAATGCAAAATTTTATTGTCTTTTCACTCTCTAAAAATTACAAGTAACAATGTTTTTAGAAGTAGCATATTACAGCAACTTAATCTGGTAATCAACATAAGTTCTCAAATAACCCGAAGTTGCTAAGAGCATTTCAGTGTCCTATTTTCACTTCTCATTGGCAATTTAATTGTATTTGTTCTGAAAATCCAGAGATAAATTCTGACAAAGTCACTAGCATCATCATTGTTCTACTATACTTTCTGAAGACCCATTAGAAGTATAATTCGCTTTCTCGAGAAAAATGTGCACACTTTTCTTACTAACAGAAAATAGTAATTGCTTCTTTAAAGTTGACTATGGCAACATAAGTGTGTTTTACTGAGATGCTCTCCTTAAAATATTCTCTTCATTACTTTCTTACAAAACTCACATCCATCAGAATGTTCTGAATTTTTGAGCTTCAAAGCAAATAATAATGAATTAAGATTTCACAGGGAGAAGAAGGAATAACAGAAGGGAAGCAAATTTAAGCAACATAAATTAGCTTTTCATTGTGTAGAATTTGAATAATTATTGATCCATTTTCATGTGCTTACTGATGTCTTATCTAGACTCTTAAAGAAAAGGATAAAGACAGAAGGTATATTGCCTTCTTCCTATCTCTTATCTAATACCAAACAGAAGTCAGGAATAATAGATAAATTTCTTTTTTGTTTGTTTGTTTTTTTTTGGTACTGGGGATCAAACTCGGCTCCTTGCACTTGCGATGCAAGTGCCAGAACCACTGAGCTAGATCCCTGGCCCATAACAGATAACTTTCACACATGGATGTCTAGGGATGGAAGTTGGAGCTGCATTATGGCAATAATAGAAAAAATTGACTAATTTGCAAAATACTTTTTAATACTGAACAACTCAGGACCAACGGATTCTATGAATTAGTTTTGCAATAATATCATTGAACAGAAAAGAGAAACGTGCCTATACCCGTACTTCATAAGGAGTTTTTGAAGTATAATAAGAGAAAACTTACTGAAAAGTCTTCAAAGATTTTCTTGAGTTCTTCATGCCCATACTTTTTAGCAATGCGAGCTGCATCAGCTCCACTTGTATTTTTCGTCTTTGCTGCCCAGTTTGCTCCCGAACATTGTAGCAGTTGAAGGGCCAGGTTCTTTAAGTCAAACTTTGCAGCACAGTGGAGAAGAGTTGGCAGTTCATCGATATGCATATCTAAAAGCACAGGAAATACGAGTATTGAATATGCTTTTATTATACCTGCATTTCCATAAAAAGTCAAGCGTAGTCTAGACCCCAAAATAATCACCACCTAGCAGAGAAGGCTTTAGTATATATTTGCATGTAAGAAGCTTTCAGTGGTTTTAGCAATGTGGAATCTTTTTCATCTTAAAATACTTCTCATCTTAAAATAAATATAAACCACTATTCATTTTAATGAACACCTTATTTATGGAGTAAGTTTGACTTCGAAAGCCACACTAGCCTCTTAAATGTATAGGAAGACAAAAGCATTATCTGTAATTATGTCTTTTGAGTGGATCACCACATTAGCTGTACTAAATATAAAATTCCTAAAGATTCATCTACGAAGCCATTTTGTGTTTTTACTGCCACATCTTCTGAATTCTGGTTTCTTCTGAATTTTACATGAAGATGAAATTTTTGAAGGTGTTATACTAGACTTTGACATGAAAGCTCTCTTTCAAAAGCAAATGACAACAGAAAATACAGGTGAGCACTTTTAGAAGCAACTTCGGTACAGATATTTACGTCAGGATTTTAGAACTTTAATGTCAATGTTTTATACCTTGAACTTCATAATTACCTATAATTATAAGTTGGAAGACATATATTAAGCCCCAAGTCATAAGGTGAAGGAAAACTGCTATCTCAGAAGCAAAAAAAAAAAAAAAAAAAAAAAAAAAAAAAAAAAAAAAAA